GTTACTGCCACAGGGCGATTTCAACTCACCTCGACCCCATAAAGAGATTCTGGGGCTCTATAAATCATTCTGCAGATGGACAGCCTGGTCTTTCTCCTGCAGAGCAATTTTGTGTATTTCCCATTTGGGCTGCAGAAATCTCACCCAGTGGTGTCACTAGGGGGTGCACTTACTCTTAAAAAAGGGAAGGGAGGAGCAAGAAAAGATGCAGATGCTCCTAAGGAGAGGCACTTAGCAGGCTGTCCCTGGGTAGCAACGTGCAAATAGTTTGTAAACTCACTGCAAATGAGTCACTTCTGACTCACAGCCACCTTATAGGTCAGGGTAGAACTCCCCAGTGGGTTTCTAAGGCTGTAACTTTTTACTGGAGTAGAAAGCCTCATCTTTCCCTGGAGGAGTAGCTGGGTTACTCCTAGTTTGAAAAGAAGCAATATAAAAGGGAGGTGCATTAAGCAATCAGCATATTTAATACACAATGGAAATAGCCCATAGAACTTAAAGTCATTTAGTTAGAAAAGTTAAATCTGTGAAAAGGATCAATACTAAGGCTGGAATTATCACACAGTTTTAAAAAAACTGATAATTTTTGAGAATTCTGCATTTCCAAATACGTACTATTCACAAGGGCAGTTGGGGAAACCTTATAAAACATGCAAGGCTACAACTGGGCCAGGTAAACAGTGGACAGGTGTGATGGAAAAGATTCCAGGATGAGGAAAAGCAGAGTTTAGAATAAGCATGTATATGGTGCTGGAGACAAATATTGAAAGTACCAGAGAATATTAAAAGGACAAACAGGTCTGTCTTAGAAGAAATATTGCCAGAGTGCTCCTTAGAGGCAAGCGTGGCAAGGCTTTGTCTTACAAACTTAGGAGACACTAATCCCTGGAGAAGGACATCGTGCTGGGTAAGTGGAAGGGCAGCAAACAAAAATAAGGAAGGCTCTCGACAAGAGGGATTGACACGGTGGCTGCAGTGATGGGCGCAGGCATAGGAACAATTGCAAGGCTGGTGCAGGAACATGCGAGTGTTTTGTTCTGTGGTGTACAGGGTCACTATGGGTCAGAACCACCACAGTAACCACAACAATGTGTGTATCTGTGAAATGGTGAGCTGAGAACAGCAAGACTGCTTCAGAAAGGAATGGAAACACCCAAAGCATCACCAACTAGTGACTAGATACACAAAATGTGGTATATCTTTTCAGTGAAATATTACCTGGTTGTAAAAATGAATGAAGTACCGGTACATTCTGGTACCACCTGGATGAACCTTAAATCCATTGTGGTAAATTAAAGCAGCCTCTCACCAAAAGCCACAGACTGGATGGTTCCATTTATATGGAATGCCCAAGCTGGGCACATCTAGAGAGCCAGAAAGTAGACTAATGGTTCCCAGAGGCTGGGTGGAAATTGGAGGTAGTGGGAAGAAATGCAGAGAAATGGATAATGAGTCTGGGTTCTTTTTCTAGGGGTGATAAAAAATGTACTCAAGTTGATTGTTGTGGTAATTACACAACTGTGGAGATATAAAATCCACTAACCGTTACACTGTAAAGGGGTGAACTGTATGAATTATAGCTCAAATGAAGCTGTGAAAGATGGTGACGGGCCGGCAGAGCACACCATCCAGCTTAAAGCAGTCAATTACGGAGGGTTCTGATTGCAGGGCCCGAGATTCTGGAGTTTGGCCTCTCAGCAGTTAAGAGATCTCACTGCCATATAGACCATTCTGACTCATAGTGACCCAAGACTGCAAATCTTTGTGGGAGTAGAAAGCCTCCTCTTTCTCCCGAGGAATGGCTGGTGGTTTCAAACTGCTGACCTTGAGGTTAGCAGCCCAACTCATAACCCATTCCACCACCCCAAGGCCATGGAGTCCATGGGGACCCATAGCAACCCTATAAGGCAGGAGAGAACCCTGTGAATTCTTTGCAGGAGAAGAAAGCCCCATTTTTCTCCTAATTAAGAGATATGATCTGATATATCAGGTTTACTTATGAAAGCATAGCATACACACGTAGGACTCTTCTCCAAGATAATTACTCATGTGTCTTACACACATCGCTAAAATACATGCCAAAATCAGAGAGGAGAGCGAGAACAGGGAAGAGCTGCTCAGATGCGATTTTGACTAAGCATCTCAGCATCTATGCAAAATTATGCATTTATCTGTGTCAGAAAGCTTCATATACGCTGATGGTCTGAGCTTCTTTATGAAAATAGCACTACTAATTGACCGGTCACGTTTCAAGGCAAGATAATGGCCAGTATAATGTGTTTGTCACTGGAGGGCAGGGTTCTGTATATAAAGCTTTTGGGGGTACTGGATTCACAAGTCCATTGCCTTCATCACCAGACCGTATTTCCTATTGATGCCTATACACTGAACCGTGAATTCCAATTTAACATAATCTTCCAAAGTAGCTGTCAAGATGTCAAAGTAGAGGAAAGCTTAGGAACCAAAAGGGACATGCAAAAAAAAAGCAGAAAGCCAAAAAACAAACAAATGGGGGGGAAGGGGGAACTGACTCTTCAATACAGAGGATAAGGTCACTCAAAATAAATCTGAAAAATCATGAAAAGGGGAACAAACAAACTAGGCCCCAGTTTTAGGTTCTATAAATCCAACCCAAAAGACCCCACTGTCCTCTAGTCAATTCTAACCCTTATGAACCCTCCAGAACACAGTAGAACTGCTCCCCAGGGTTTCCAAGGCTGTCAATCATTAAGGAGCTAGCAGAGCAGCTAGGTGGGTTTAGTTAGCAGCCTGTCAGTTAGCAGCCCAATGCTTTACCAACTGTGCCACCCGGGCTCCCTTTGTAAAACTACAGCGTTGGGAAAGACGAATGAAATGAAAAAGGAGAAGAGGAGGAAGAGATGAGCTTTGAAACAGGAAAGTACAACACACGAGAACGGATGCGGAGGCTTTTGCAGAGGCCAAGTTTGGAACCAAGACCACCTCCTGGGTCAGAGGGAAGAAAGGACTTGCTAGCAGGTTGGCAGCATTGGGCAGGAGCTGGACGAGTGGTGAAACTCCACTTTCCCCCAGGAGGTGGTGAGATGGTCAGAATACAAAAGAAGAACTCAGCCAGAGAATCCAAACACAACCGAACCAGTGTTCGACGTCCCAGTCACCTTGCAGACCTCCCTCAGGGCAGGTGAGACCCAAGAAACTAAAGACGACATAAGATCTCTTTTCAAACGCTCCTCTAAGACTGAGCGGGGCCACCTATCTCTATAGGGGCTTTGTGAGTTCCAGAACTGGAAGAAACAAGATTTTCCGTTTGAGAAATCAAGAGGCAACTAAGACGACTTGGTTCACTAGCACACCAAGAGAGCAAAGTAGAAAGCAAATGCACTCCCCTAACACCTGAACAAGGTGTCTGCTGTCAAGAGGAAGTAGAGCAAGAGTCTCTGTTTCCTAATTGTAAGCCAGCCTTTAAACTATTCAGTAGAAAGTGATCTGGAGTCCTTGCCTGCAGACTGATAATGAAAGGAAATGTATCCAAACTGGCCTCTGTTGTAAAATGGGACACACACACACAC